ACATACACATATACATACATATATGTACAAGTATAGTTTTCCCAGGTCCTAGGCTAATCGTTTGTACTTGCAGTATAATCCGTAAACTGCGTATATGATATAGTCAATATAGGCACCTACACGTCTATACCCGTATAGCCTGCATCTCCCCCCCCCCAGGAATATACCTATTGAGAATCGTAAAAAGTCGTTTTGTTTTATATTATATATGTATATCGGGCACGGCCCACTGACATCATAGTATAAACCAAAACTCGAATTTTCCACCACAACTGACGAGTGACTTAACTATCTGAATTGTTTGTATAAACATCATGTAAACAATGTTTTGTTTTATTCTGTTGTAATATTGTGCACGGGTGATGATGGACTCATTTTTATGTTTGGTAGCAGGTTCTGTATACGTGATTTGTTTAGATACCTAGGTACATCAACTAAATCGAAAAGTATAAGATAACCAACATTAATCTTGTGCCTACAGTTGTACACGTAGGTACATGCCTATAGGTATATTTTGTGTGCAAGTAATAATTATTTAAGTCTTACATGTGTCTGTGAAAAAAATACTACAAATTACTCTCGGATAGATAATAATTACTAAATCATGTGTGCATTTGCATTTTTAACCAATTAGTCATAATCATTATCATATATTCATCATCCGAAACAACCTCAAAAAGTTTTAAAAATTATACCGATGTGGTGTACCTACCTACGTATACACTGTGTATTTTACGTTAATGCGTAAAATATGCACTCATATAGCCTTACACAGTTTTCATCCCCGCACACGCCCCTAATTAGAACGAGCTCGATGTATTTCACCGAGAGACGATTATATTGAGTTTCCGACTGCAGCTAGGACGGAGACGCCGTGAATTATATTATATAGTTGCACTGTCACAGGCTCGCCCGATATAATTTATTCGACAACCGTATCGTCCATACGTCGATTTGTTTTCAATTAGTATAGGGATACGAGTATTGTTTTATAACGAACTGCAGTCTATTGTTGCGTATATAATACAGATATATCGGCAACATCGAATGGTCATAGGTACATTCGAAATTTTTTTTGATTTTAATTATTATTCCATCAGTAATTTATTAGGAATATATAAACACATTCGGATAATGGGCCGTATGAAAACGAACGTGTATTACCAATAATAATAATATTTAATAGAACACGTATACAAAATTTTAAAACAATTATGACGCGCGTGGACGCAAATCATTCATATTTCATATTTCATATTGTTATATAGTATCATATATTATACAGGGTGATTTACCAAGCATGTTCATCCCCTTCTTTCTTCAATAATGCATTTATTCAAAATCTGTTTTTTTTTTTTAATTTTTAGATATACTTTAAGACCATATTTTCAAATTCTTGAGATTTTTTGTACTTCTTAAGGAGTTTCCTGCGGAGATACAAACTTCTGTTTTTCAAACAATAACACCCCGATTCAACTGCAAATGATGCAGTGATCATTTTTCTGAAATGTTTGACGTATGAAGATCAAAATTCGTACTAGTAGTTTTTGAATTATTTGACTTTGAATTCTAAAGATAAAAGGTCCATAGTAATGACTAGTAATGAGCTTATGGGGGCTATGGTGATTTAAAAATTGTAGTCATTCATATTAATCTATACATATCACTAATTTGTAAAAATGGCCCAAATACTAGATCCAATTATACGTTTATTTTATATTTATGTAAAACCTGTTTTATGGACAATTTATTATCCTTCATACAAGCATTATAAAAACTTAGAAACTACCCATTCGAATTCTGAATATGGTACATCGAAATTTTCAGAAAAGTTATCCACTAACTAATTTATAGTAAAAGAGGGAGGTTCTCATTTGAAAAACAGAAGTTTGTATCACCACAGAATACTTCTTAAGTAGTACAAAAAAATTCAAGAATTTGAAAATATGGTTTTTAGTATATGTAAAAATTCCAAAAATCAGAATTTGAATAAATTCATTAATAAAGGAAAAAATGGGGTGAGCATGCTTGGTGAATCGCTCTGTATGCATGTTATAAGCAGGAGACTGTTTAACTGTTATTAACACTTTATACATAATATAGAAGGTATGTATGTATTATATAAGTCTATACATTGAATCTTTATTTAGTCTACAACAGTACAACACCATATTATAATTATCTGGCGACGGACAAAAGTCATCGATTTTTTTCGATAATGACAATAATCGTTAATATCATTAGTACCTACATATAAATAATATTATGATACTTATTTCTTTCCATTGCTGCGTCTGATCCGCGTCAGTTATTATATTATGTCCAACATTATGCCCGGTGCAATATTATTAAGCCAACGAATCTAATGGCATACAGCGTTTCATCAGCAATATTACTTGAGTGGTGGCATAAAAATAATGTTCATGTATGCATCATATTATACCTGGATTTATTACGTTGAATATAGTAACACAAATTTCGAATGGTTGGGTTGCAACATATACTTAATTTGCGTTTGCGATTTTGAGATTAAATATAATTATAAACTGTGGCGTGCGTAAGAGGAGCACTGGATTATATACCATTATAATATTATATAGTGCAGTGTGCATGCACTTGTGTGGGCGATCTATATACAAAAAAAAAATATCCGAAGAGACTACTGGAGGCTCTCGGATGGTATCGAGACGATTGCAGCGGTTTCGGCGCTTTTGAAGTAGGTACAGTCCTGGTTGATAAGACTATATTACATTATTATAATATGTAATGGACGACTTCCGGTCGAAAACTATATACCGGTTCACGACGAATATCGAAAGCAGTCGTATTATGTTAAACATCATCATAATGGATTGGTCGTCGGCCGTTCTTAATCGTATTATTTAAAGAGACTGCGTGGTACACTTGTTGTCTCTGCCTTTCACATATATAATGCAACATAATATAGTAAAAACGACCCATTTGCGTTCTGCTACTGTAGAAGAAAATGTTTAGTGATGCGAAAAATACTATAAGAACAGATATGAATTCAGCGAGAAGTGTACGCGTGATATTTGCACTGACATCAATTTCACTTAAATTTAAATTTAATTTTAGTTATTTTTTGAACAGTAATATACGTTTTTAAATATGACAGATACTTGTGAAGATACGAAATTAGCTGTTTGGAATTTCGTATAGGAGCTTCAAGGTGAGTAATGAATATTTCACGATAAAAATAAAATGTAATTTGCAACGAATTATTGTTTCAGGTTTGAGACAGCCGTGATCCGCAACGCACCGCTCGTCTAATATTCGATAAATATATTACAAATAATAATAATAGGTACCTATAAATAACAAATTCATATAATAATTTACAATATTAAACTAATTAGACAAGTATAGTGCTTAAAAATAATTAATTTTTTTTAAATGTAGAGTAATTTCTCCAAAACCAGCGTATTATGATTCACCCTATATATTATAATATACTGCAGACATGTATGTGTGTGTACCAGTGCGAAAAGTTCGTCGAACGATTGTACTGCGAATCAATACATCATTAAAATAATTTTCTTTTGACGGACACTTATCGTTATAAGTAGCTTTTACTATTATTTTTTCTTACCTTGCCTCGTCGCCACCGATCCGTCCCGCCGCGAAAACCTTTTTAAGAGACGTTTGAATAGTTTGCGCCGCAAATAATAATAGGTGCCGGGTGACACCATTGTATAATATTATATACATGTGTATGAGTGTGTGTGTCTGCAAGCTTTGCTATATAGCCGCGCTGAAGTATCTTTTTAACATTCCCGGTCGTTAAACTATACGTAAGTAGCTAATAGCTGTACGCGCATGTACAAGTGTGCCCAAGTATAAAACTATTAAGTACCTACCTAGACTAGACATATAGTATACACTCTTTAAAAAAAATTATTTTGGTTTTATTATGTAAATTATTTTATTTCTATTCACGTAATATAGTTTAATTTAAAATAAATGTAGTATCTCATGTGTATGTCCGGCTAACACTGCATCACAATAACACTTAGATTTTTTTAATTTTCGATCATTCCTTTGTCAGCACTCAGCTACCTACTGCAGCGGTTGTTCCGTTGTCAGATCGCGCACTCCGTCCAATGTAATCTGTAAAACAAAATTTATACAATTTGGAACACACGCACTATAATTATTCCTCTAGCACCTCCCATAGTTGCCTTTACATAATTATGTACATTGTACACCCAATAACAATAAGTTAAAAATAACCCAAATACTGCGCACACTATAATTAATTTTATGTAATGTGTCAAAAGACTATCGAGATCTATACGACTATACACATTTATTATTTTAAAATATAGGAGACCGATGTTGAAAATTTGAGTTTGATTAAATGTATACATGTCTTAACCGTTCAACTTAATATAATATTATATAAAGGTATATCATAAAATTCTATTTACGCGCAATAAAAACGAATATTTTAAGAATACCCCTTAGAAAGCCGCGTGCACCGTTTTCAAAAGATCTTTTTAAGTATCTAATTAGCAACCGTTTACATATTATGACATAACTGCGATCTGTTATAACCATCAAATGTGTTTGTTGCTGAACATTTTCGATAAAACAGTGGGTACTTATAACACACAATTTATATTAAATAAAAATTTCCACGAGTTATGTACCCATGCGTTTTGTTTTAATATCTGTGGGGTACAGTACGCGCGAATATAATATATACAAACAATTTAAAAAAACTTTTTGATAAGGTAAATAATACATATTGCAGATGGCCACCGACCAAGTGAACAGATACTGTACATAAATATTAAATACCTAATCACGAATGTACGATGACTGTTTGAAACCGAATATTAAGAAATAATTAGCTGGTTGCCGCGATGCCGCCTGCAATGACGCGCATATATTCACTTGTGTTATTATTTCAGTGGAACGGTCTAATTAATCACGAATAAAGTCCCGTAACGGTCTTTGACGGAAGAAAAAAAATCGACTCATCATATAAAATATTATATATTATAGTTATATGACAGAAGTACGCGACATAATATGTTATTATTATTATTATGTACTATTAACAATCGTTATAATCACAATTTATAATATTTACTTGACCATTACCGTACGCGTGTTTCCACGTATTGTTCGAACCATAAAACTATCTTATAAAAATATGCTAACTTTGGGAAGTGGGCTAACACTTGGATGTTGTGATGGCGAGATTTCGCGATTTTTCAGCTGGACGCAAACAACAGTTACTATATCGATATTCGACATAATAATGATATGTTTAATATGATAACTTAACCGATACCGATCGGTCATCTCACCAAAGACTTTTCGTAAATACTTTAGTGTAAATAGTCAAACGGGTAACAATAGGATTAAAATTGAAAAAATACGTAGATACTATAGAAAGCTTAACAGTTTTAGGTATCAAACACAGAAGTATAGGTACTAGAAGGTTTGTTAATGCGCATAACTAATTCTAATTGTAATGAAATATATTCATTAAGTATACCTAACTGTATGCAAAAAAAACTATGGTATCCAACTCATTATGGTGAAAATGATCAGGTTATTTAAAAACTGAACAGTTTTTGTACGTCAATGGCATGCGCTTTGTTATATTTCAATAATTTCGCATATAAATTATTCATTTTGTATTGGTAGAATAATTTTTAAGAGCCGATTTTCTCATAAGTATATCGCTAATTTTTAATGCACACGTGCGGCAAGCATGTCGAACAGCAGCTGTTTAGTGCATTAAAATTTACCGATCGGTATAGATTTATAACACACCACTACAGCTATAATATTCTATATTTCGGATATAAACTACAACACATAGGTAAGTAATTATGCTCACAGTAAATCGAGCTGCGGAACGACCGTGTTCGACGCTTTTCTTCAGCAGCGCCGTGTACTCGTTTGGCCGGTTGGGAATTTTGCTCAGCAGAAGTCTATACTGAACGCGATGGCCGAACGATTCGCCTAACGCCGGAAATACTTCCGTGCCGTTTTCGGTGACCGCGGTCGTCAGATCGTTAGTCAGTAACACCTGTAATAAATTGTAACAATTGTATACCAAACGTGACGTCGATACATAGCGATACATAACTTATCACGCACACATTATGTACAAAATATCAAGCGAATAAATAGTGGTTATGTTAGCATGGCTATAGGTTCTGCATCGAATACTTTTTATATCAAAAATAGAGTATACTTGTTATTTTTTCGATTTTTTTTAAAAGACAATTTTAGATTCCTAACCTTTTATCCAAATTTTAAATGCTTATTATTTATTTATAAATTATATTTTGTTCGGTATTTGGATTGACATTATTTAAAAATCAAAACTATGAATAATGATTTCACCAACAAACGCATATAATATGTAAAAATAAATACAGTATAAAATATTATAACTGTGTATTTACCTGTATCTTCGATTTCCAAAAATTTCAACATTTCGAAAATCACAAAATGTTATACTATTGGTAGTTGGAACCTATAATAGCAAATGCCAACGAATATACAACGAATAATGTATGATGTACACGAAATAGATGACCAAGTCAACATGCAAATTTATTTTTTAAACAAAATTAATACTTCATCCTAGTATTGTACGAGTAGTATATTCATTGCAGATAATATAGGTATTATGTTTTATTTATTAAGGTAGACCAAAATACAAAGTTTCATAAGAAAAAAAAACGATTACTAAAACCCACATAAATAAATATGTTTTTAGGGTTTACTATTTTAGTTAATGCGTTTTAGCATATTATAAATTCGATCTTCGCGTGTGTTATTCCAAGTTTATGAAAATAAAATTGCTTTGATCGTATTCATTAATCATTCGACAATTATTCAAACTCGGGCTGAGCTGTAGCTTGCTTATATTGTTTGCAACAAAACTATCTAAAATGTCTTACGAACCGAATTGAACTAAATAATGAGTCAATATAATACAAACGGATGTAGGCCGCAAACATTTATAATAGTATGATGTATGATGTACACCAGTATTTCAATCTCGACCTGACTATTTATTTTGTGCAGTACTACATACACAGTGCATTAAATCGTTGGATTAAGTTATATATCGGTCTGCGAAAACCATTGACCCTGATATGCTGACTATATTATACATCGTAAATTCGTAACGATAACCTTCGAACGAATTTTAGCAACGCACGCCTTAAAATACGCAGGCCTATACTTGAAACAATAATGGCATATAGTCCCACGTCATAATAATTATTTGAGAATATTATATCGTGCTATTATTTCTTTTCTTATATACCTATGCGTATATACCAACAGATTTAAACACAACAGAAAGTCTATTGTGCGGTGAAAAACAAACTGTACAGTGTACCTACATACAGCTATAGAGAGTATACCGTATACGTGTATATGGTCATAAAACGCGGTTATAAACGCGTTCGGATTAAAACGAAACGACGATTTTTATATGCCCAATTATATACAATAGCTGATGCATTATCACTTACGGCCAGATCGTGTTCGACAGCGATCGTTTGCAACAGATCGAGAGCGCTGTGGACCAGCGTATTCTTTCTCAGCGAATTTTCCACCTGGTACAGCGGCATGACAAAACTGTCCACCACGATTAATTTCACCTGTAATAATAACGTCCGTGAGCTGATAATAAACGTCAACGAACCATTGCGAGTTATTACGATAACAATCGCATGTTGTATACAAAAATAAATTATCGATTATTATAATAATATAATAATTTATATTGTACTATTATATTATATTATAATATTATTATTAGTATATACATACGTTCGGGTGACGTTCGAGAGTCGTATACAAAGCGTGCAGCTGGTTTAGGTCATTCATTTGAACCCTGTGTATTTTACTCAGCATACCAGCGGTGGTCAGACTCTTTAGCAACTCGCTGTTGGCTGCTCCTTTGAAATCGTTGGGTCCCGACAACACTTTAGACACATGGCCGAGGAAAGCGTCGATCATTTCTGAAAACGAATATAACGAGCCACTTGACATCATCATCGACGTGTTTATATGCGTATAACACTGTAACAACGCATTAACGCGCTGCAGTGAGATTAATAAATAACAACATGTATGCATGACGCAAAATGTAATATTTATACGTTATATACAAAAAAAAACAATTATAATACTACTATAGTTGTGCTGAGAACGCACGGAAGACATAAAATACGAATTATTTTATTAGATAGAAAAATATAGAGATTATAATTTGAAATTAAGAGAATCTGACAAAATATGCATTACAAATAAAATGCTCTAAATAATATAATTCGATGTTATTAAAATATAATGTTAATTATAATCACCTATCTATTTATACAGGTATATCATAATGTTGTGTTTTACATTTATTTACCTGTTAGTCGAAGTTCGGAAAAATTTGAATTTGTATCGACATAAATTGCTTCGGCTTGTAGTCCTTCAAAACACACAGGTATTTGAACGGAAACACAGAGTTGCATGCTGAAAAAATATTGAGAAAACATAGTCAAACGAGGATCAATATCATATTTCCTGAAGACCTGAAATTGAAAAAGTGGTATTATAAACGTTTACCTCAACTGACTTTTGCCCGAGCCTGGAGCTCCGGACAGTTCTGTTATTCGTCCAACTTGTACACCGCCGTTCAAAAGTTCATCAATGGACTTGCAGAAGGTAGCAATACTATCGCGTTCAATGTCCTGTACAGAAAACGAAATATGTATACATAATGAGTACGTTTTACCATAATAACCTGCAATAAACTACTCTTTCTGCATTTATACACGTTAAGCTAATAATGTTATAACTTATAAATAAACATTATACACAATTACATCCCTAAGAGCACACACTAGATTCACATAAATCTAGTATTATAGTGTTTATAATGCATTTAATGAAGTAAACTTATTATAAGATAGTATAAAGTGATTTTAACTTTTAAACATACGATGGTGAAATGTTGGTAGAAATTGAATTTTTTTGAGTATTTCTCAGTCTATGAAATAATTCATTATATTTCCATTTATTTTTTTACATGTTTGAGTAATGTTTTTCGTTATTATTCCATAGTGGTTTTACTTTTAACATGCGAAAATTTGACGATTCAAAATATCAAAGCAAAATTGTCCTAGACGATTCAAACTATTCGCATAATTCTGCAAATTTTGTAAGTGACTTTCTTTATAATATCAGTGAGTACTGCATACATATGTAAATGCATGTATATTCTATATGTATACATATGGGCATGAACATTAAATATGTAAAGATAACAAACTTTTTTTCTATATTTTTATAGAGAATATATTGTTATTATTTTTACATTTCTGAGGATTTAAAGTACTTACATGATAAGTAAACTTATATGTATTGTAAGGGTTTTAAAATTTTCAATCTTTAATCTTGATTATAAGTTATTAATCAAATTATGATTTTCACTTACTAGTTCTGCAGCGGTCTTGTATTTGGGAGTTCTTAGCATATCACGGATTTCAGATTCTGATTCCATATGTTTTCGTAAAAATTTTGATTTTTTTTCAGGATCGTCTATAGAACATAATATCATGAAACGATTTTACATAATTTTGTCACAAAATATAGTTATACAATTTAATAAAATGAACCTGTAATAATTAATAATTGTATTTACAATAGTTCTTCCGATCCCTTCACATATACAATGTACGTATAGAAATGATAATAAATTAAATTTAAATTTAATATTACCCAATGCATCTAGCAAATCTTCACAACACTTGTATCCTAGTTTGTCCAGTTTATTTATCGTATGCTTGCTCAAAGGCAATGTCCAAATAGGCCTGTTCATGGTTGCACAGGTCTGTTAAAAAGAATTAGGTTAATGTCTAATCACGACGACAAAAAAAAAAATAATAAACAATATAATATACGCATGCAGTTCAATTACATACGCACACTGTCGTCATATGATATAATAGATACGCATTTATAATTAAATCTTAGATATTACGTGCAGCAAATATGACGATTGCGAATATTTGTTACATTTTAATATGTACATATGGGTCAAAGACGAATCCATTGGGATATTTATTTATTTTTTTATTTAATTACTTGCACAGAATCTTCAGCGGTCAAAATCGCATATATAAAGCCCACCCACTATAGTTTGTAATAACCACAACAGTTTTATTATTCAAAAAGTTCACAGCTATTATACACAGTAAATCGTCAGCTATGATTGTAACTATTGTCTTAACGAGTTTGATGTTGACGTACGATGTGGTTTATGGAAATTATCATCACAACAGAAACACTACGCTTCACAAATATGGGTAAGTCATTTATAATACACTGCACACTGACCAATAATCGTTATCTTTATTTTTTATGGTCCTAAAACAATGATACATAAAACCGTCGATTAACTTTAAATTTAAACACAATCGGAAATATTAATGACACATTTTATGACGGAAAAAAATTAAAAGTAGTTACCTGCGTGTTAACAATGCGTTACTCTAATATTGTATTCGTCATATTAAAGTTCATATAAATAAATTAATCGTTTATATCGCATTATTTAGAAAGCACAACGAAGAGAATTAAGGAAACGTGTTTTTTCTACCACAAAATAAAACAGAAATATCAGAAATTACAAACGGTGTATAACACTGAGCTGGTGCAACCGCAATTTAGAACTCGAATATGCCCCTAAAATAATATCGAAAAATTCATTTATAACCTACAAACTCTAAAGTAAAATACTCTTTTAAAAACTTAATTTATGACCTAAGAAGTTATAACTATTAAAATATGTCTATATAATTATTAATTATATAAATATAAATATAATATGTATACATTATTTTTTTATAGGTTAAAAAATTACCTAAACAAATAAATAATGCATTAAAAAGTTTAAAAATTCACTTAAATGTTTGAGACTACGTCAAATGTAAAAAATTGTCCCAAAAGAGTTCGTTGTTAGCATAGGGTGTACTTGAAACACATTTTTATCTTGGAAAGCATCGTGTCAAAAATCCCCAAAAAAAAAGATGCAAATGCATGGACGGCTAAATTAGTAATATTTATGCAGTCGAGTCTCGATAACTCAAACCTCGATGTCTTGAATTTTTGTCTTGCCCCTCGAGGTGTTTATAAATAGAATTGATTTTTATTCCTCTTGGGATTCAAGTTATCGAGACTAGACAGTAGGTACATTAATTGCCGTCGTTCGGCGAAAAGCTTTGGGAAATTTTTGACGAATTCGATTACCAGGCCCAATGTTTGCACCGTCGAGGAGGTTCCGTCGGGCAATGGCGGCGCAACATCGCACAGGGAGCGTGGCTGGCCAATAGACGATCGTCAGCATCGAACTTGCGGACAAAACACGTTGAGTGACCTGACTCTGGATTGCAATAATTGCAGTCACTCGGCGACGATGACCCGAATTTAATTTGTATTGTTTTCTTTTTTTATCTCTCGCTCCGAGTATAGAATCGTGAGGTATGAATGCTGCTTGGGATTCAAGTCGATGTATGGATGTCCAGGATGCACCGGTGGTTAGTAAACATGATAATTAATTACATAACTACAGCGTAAAGTATATGTGATATTATAAAGTCATATATTATAGGAGATTACACACACGATTTTCATAACACGAATACACATTACCACGCTAAATGGTAATAATTTGTGTTTAAAGTGGTTTTAGAGAAAAACAAACATCTACCATAAAATCGAAAGATTATAATATTTTAGAGATAATGACGTATCTGTTTTTTTTAAATAGTGTCTTTTAATAAAGTTGCACCCCGTTCATTGTGCAGTTTTTGGGTTTTCGATATAGCTCATAAATAATTTTTTATAGTGATGCAAATATTATATACTTAACAATAAACATAATATATTTGCAAAATGTTACGATTTCATACAATAATTACGATACAGAAATCTTTTATTTTATCACCAGTGATTTTTTAGTTTCTTACTACATTTAAGTAGCAACCCTTATTTTCAATTGCATATTGATAAAACTGCAGAAATCGACTGCGCACAGATAAAATAATTAATTTAAAAAATTAAACAACCAAAGCGTCACCTATATATATATAGCTATATTAATAGATTTATACATTATACATAATATAATATGTTCGAGTAGCGGATGATACGGGCGCTGTAACGATTTACGATATTAATTATTTACAGTAAAACCGACAAAGAACGTGTTGGAAACCGCTCAAGAACTTGGGGCCCGAGAGTTTGTCCGGTACATCCGGCACCACGGCTTGTACGATTCGTTGACCAGCGGCGGCCCGTACACGATATTCGTTCCAACCGACGAAGCTTTTTCCGTATATTGACTCATATATTATTATTAATTAGGATTAATATTATAATATAATTCTGAAACTTAATTCAAAAGCCGTTCGTATGATTTATAGTATATTAAATTTAATCTTATTTTTTTATTCCGTGTGGCCCGGGAATGTAGAAAATGGACAACGCGTTTCGGTCGGCCATGGAGTCTTACGAATCGGCCATCGAGATACTCAGATACCACGTGGTGCCCTTGAGGATCGTGACACAAAACGTATCTTCCGACGAGATGCTGAACACGTTGAACGATGGACTTCAATTGAGGTTTAATAAGTACTCAACAAAAGTGAGCAACATTTTCCGAGTAACCTAATAGTTTTAATAATTTTTTTTTTTTTTTTTTTTAATTGATCCTGAGCCCGGCAACTGTGGCCATTAGCTATTTTAGTAGGTACTGTAGGTTTTTTGTATTGATGGTTTGTAGGTTTTTGGAACGGTAGGGGGAACACGTGTGTGTTTGTTTTGGCAGAATTTCGAATGGGGCACCCGTAGGTTTCTGCCATGCCCCGGGGGGTGGGGGATGGCAGCACTTGCTCTCCGGTCACCGCGACTTGTCCGGAGAAAAATGCCGCCCGGTGGCCGAGGATCGAACCGCAACCGGCTGCGTCGCAGCGGAAGAGTCAGACCACTCGGTCACCTCGTCCCCCTTTAATAATATTATATTATTCATTAATCATTATATAACTCACTCCCCTTTGGCAGGAAACCGTACAGAATATCAACGAACAATATTTCAGCTTATGAAATTTTGATAAATCGCATTTTAAAATAATATTACATCTGTAACATATTATACATTTTAATTTACAATGGGATTTTCAACAACACTTCAAAAAAATATATAAATAAATAATTACATTTTTTAATAACTATTACTTATAACATTGTCAAAATTATAAGATTACAATTTAAAAATATAATATACGCATATTCGAATTTTAATAAGGAAAACATTCGAAAAATTTGATATGTATAAACATTTATCTAAAAACGATTTTAAGTATTCTAGTCGTTTTACTATTTTGATATAATTCGTATGTTTGCATATTTTGCATTCATATTATAAACTATATGAAAATGAGTAGTAAGATATGTCAATTTGTTGAGAGCACTTAGTCGATAGAGCATATGGTATAGAAAAAAAAATCAAAAATTAAAATAAATGTTATCAATTCTAATGAATACGTAAATATTTTATATTTTAAAAAAAAATAACGACAGTCAAAAATCTTTGAAGATTGTAACTCGTATTATATAATATATCGTTAACAAATATTCGAATAACAATCGATTTTAATAAATTGAATTTTGTAGATCGAAACAATAAATTGTGTTACGATAATGCGTAAGAACCGAATTGCTCAAAATGGAGTGGTGCATCTGATCAATTCCGTGCTAAGTCCTTACACTTATTCAAATCGAAATTTGGTGCAAATTATTAACCAGGTCTCCGATAACTTAATAGGTTTTTAAAAATAATTAATAAATAGTAATAAAAATGGACCTTGTGTCTTTGTAGAACCAAGACTTAACAATATTTTCAAAAATGCTCGAAGTTTCACGTATGCATCAAAGTCTAAAAGAACCATTTCAAACACTCACGGTTATGGTTCCTACCGACATGGCATTACAAAGATTTCCGCAAAATCAACTCAGAAGGATATTGAATGACGAGACACTCAGCAAGGGTACGTGTGAAATTGAATGTCAATATTATATAGTACATTTTTGCTTCTGAACCATCAAATGTACGTCATAAAATATTAGTGGGTAAATACATATAATACTAGGTAGACATTTTTCTGAAAAAATTAGAGTGAATATTTGAATTTATAAGCCCCATTTGTATAACGTATTGCCTACTTAAGTAACCTACCAGTATAAAATGATATGATGGCCAAGATAATTTCCTAAATGTTCGTAGTGCTAAAATTACTTTATATAATAAAAATATATTAAAACAGTCGCATACCACATATTAAGTATTGGCAGAGGTGTACATTTTTTATTTAAGACTAATATTTTTTATTTGAAAATTTTCTTTAGCGTTTGTGTTGAAGCACTTATTGCCGACACCTGTTTGTTTGAGTGCAGTCACCGAAGATCAGTATGTTAGAAGTCTGGCGGACAGTAATTACGTGAAATTCAGCTGTGATGGGAAGAACACTGTGATGGCTCAAGGAAACTGTATCAACAACGATTTGAAATTATCGTCCAAGGGAATAATTTACGCTATAAATTTTGCACTGAGCTCTGAAGAAGGTATATTGATTGATATATGTGCAGTATTGTATATGTAATCAAAGTGAAGATTGTATTGCACATTACAGATAGCATAAAATATTTAAATAATATAATATAACAAGTAACAACTAACAATACATTGTATAAATGAACAATTTTGACAGTTACATTTTTAGTAGGAATAAAAAAAAGTAATGACACCTATATATGTGTATAATTTACATAGCCCAGGGACGAATCCAGAGAAGGGGGTATAAAGGCTCAGCCCCCCAGACATATTATTTCCCAAATTTTTAAAATAATTCTACAGATCCTGACATGACTCTACTTCAAATTACATGTATGTCTGATAATATAATATATTATTATACGTATAATTCTGGGGTCCACAAACTAAGATAGTACTATCTTAGTTCATGGTGGACAGTGATAACATTAACAAAAAAATGTGGGACCCCCTCCCAGATCTTTGCTCTGGAACCGTGCCTGACATAGTCCCACCCCATAAGTACTTGCATTTTTTAAATTCCTATAAGATTATATATAGTATATACAATGTATCATATTTATTATTATTATATACTTAACTCGGTTTGCAGGGAAATCGGCGCTGCAGATCATGCAGCATTTGGGTCTAAGCGATTTTGTTCAGATCGTCAACATTGCCGGACTCGCGCAAACGTTTGAAAATTTTAACGCACTAACCGTTTTCGCACCGACCAACAAAGCCTTCAGATGTAAGTCACCGTATTAATTATATATACACCCATATTATTTTATGTCTATTAAGTATTCTTCACGCGAACACAGTGTATAGTATAAATTATTATAACCCGGTTATATAACGACCGGTACGTGTTTTCCAATTATGGATGACGTATATTCTACGTACCGCTGTCTATAGTGTGTGTGTGTGCAAGTGTGTGTCTGTGTGTATAAATATTTAGCAATTGACTTGACACAGGTATGAATTCTATGGAAATGTATCACATCCGGTCCGACCCGAGTGCTGCCCGAGCGTTCGTAGATTTTCACGTTGGGAGTCAAATAATAACGGCCAAGAACATTTACGACGGGAAAACCGTCGAGAGCTTTGCACCTGGTAAGCAACTCCGTTTGCAGTGCGTCCAGAACGAATTCGGTGTCGAAGGACGTCAGATTCACTTTCAAACAGTGCGAGGCTACAACGGAGCCGTTCACGTCATCGACCATGTATTGTACCCGCCGACGATATCCGTCGAAGACCTGATCAGGAAAAACGATAGTTTCAGGTATAAACCATAAGGGGGCCTATGTATATAATAATAGTAGCTCCTCGTCGTGGCCCAGCTGTTAATTAGATCGACGAATGAAAACAAATTGACTTTAGCTGTTGACAATATTTTTTTAATATTATTGTACCTAACGTATTTAACGCAATAACTGAAGCTAAAATTGAAACCATTGAAAGTACTCACAAAATTTGAAGCAAAATATTGTCTATAGGTCTTGCAGTAAGGCAATGTATATTATTAATTGTATACAAAAAACACTAACTTCAGTAGTTATTGAGAACGGTTTCAAGCTTGAGGCTCATATGTACCTTTTGGATTTTGAAAATTTTGAAAATAAATTGGGTAAGACTTTCAAAAAAATTGGTTGAATAATAAATCATACCAAGAAGTGTATCTATATATTATATTTATTTGAAATCAAAATAACTCGATCATATATTTTGTCAAAAATTAAAATTGTATGCATGATAAAAACGTTCGAGGTCCACTGCACGCTGCAACATATTATTCCAGCCCCTCTAATACAGCAACTGCACAATAGCAGGACTGCAAGACAAGCCCACCCCTAGCGAATATATCGAACAACTGAAGTGCTATAATTAACTGAGATTTTAAATGCGCTTTTGACGATTATGCAGTTTGTACATGAAAGCTATGGACCTGGTGCTTGGCGCTTCTTCGGAGGGTTGGGCGTCGTTCGAATTCTGCAGTGGTATTCACAATACGTACTTCGTACCCACAAACTATGCGTTCAGGAAACTCGGGGCAGCTGAACTGCACAGGTTGTTCAGCAATCCTACCCGCATGCAACAAATCCTCGACAACCACCGGGCCGACCGAATCCTGCCGTCGGCGTTGATCGGCACGCGTCGGCAGTACGAGATCAAAACGAAAAACGAAATCATCCGGGTATCCAACGAAGACGACAAGTTAATGGTACCTATGACGTTTATTAATTTATTATGATTAAAATAGTTTAAGTGTTGATGCTCAACCTGCGGTTCCAGATTTGTATACTACAACATAATATAGTGTTAAAAAACCTTTGCCCAGTTAAAGATATTGCATTTTTATTATCTGTAAAACGGATTCCAGATACCAATAGTTAGGTACATAATTTTAGCACCCTTTATATTAGTTTTGTAAATTAGCTTAATTAATCTCTAGTTGCGTTGGGCCAATGTAAGTATATATTATTTGAAAGCTTTCTGCGTCGTTTTTATTTAGGATATAGTTATATAGACATTATGACGACTTTAATAATTTTTAAGTGTGCTATGTATAAATGTTATAAACAGGTCAACGAAGCTGAAATAGTCGAAACGGATATAATGACAACCAATGGACTCGTCCACGTGGTCGACGATCTGATTTTACCACAAAACAGACGGAGAAGCGAATGAATACCTACTACACTACTTATATTGTTATTTAAAATCAAAAAATAGGAAATTATTAATTTAGTACACCATTTTATAATCTACACTTACACAATTAACAAACAACGACATAATAAAAATATGAACTTAGTGTCTTAGTATAGCTGTCCGTATATACTTAATTATTTTCAATATGTTATTATGATGATAAATTGTAAACTTATAATTTTAATTTCGTGTCAATAAAGCACATATTATATTTAACGAAATTTCGTATTTCTATAATAAATGTTTTATAAGTTTAGAGTGTATTTACTCAGTTGCATATATTATGTTTTTTTTTTTTAGTCATCTCTTATAAAGTCTTTACTTTATGTCTTTACGTCGGATGAATAATTATTATTTTAAGATCAGTAGATCACATCAGTGTATGTTAAAATAGGTACCTATTAAAATGTTAAAATCATATCATAATAATAGTGTTTCTATACGTATATGAAATAGGTAAAATATATTATTATAAGTAGTAAGTACCTACATCTTACAAGACGGTTTACACGTGGGCCATCAAATATAAGATAAATATCATATCTCAGTACATCACTGCAAGTATTATATAAAATATAATCTTATAATAATGCTCTTCATAGAACCAACTTAGATAATGAAAAAAATAATAGTAATTAAATTAAATTGTATTATAATTACAATAGGTACCTAGTCAATAATTGACCACAAGAAGTCATATATTTTTTAAAGCAATCGGCAAAATAACATTACATTTGCTCAATGCTGGATTTGTCCACCCAATAGGCAATAATATACTCTGAATATGTATAGGTAAATTTTTTTAATTGTACATACATTTGAAGTGTAAAATATAAATTGATTAGTCTCTTATATATTGATAAGAACTTTGTGAAGAACTTTGCGTATGATACAGGATATAGGTACCTTCTTATTAAGAATTTAGTAAATTCAATGATCCAAGGTTAAAATCCCGTCGGCATATCTTGTTCGTATGATTTCATAACACGAGAGTTAGATAATGGTGACTTTTTACAATCAGTGTAATGTATTATTAATTATCGTGCGAAAAAAAATGAAAGTCGTTGAATGGACAAAGGGCAAATATGTCAACCAGCAAATTCATCTGATCCTTTTGATTTCGAGATAAGTATAATCTAAAGCAGTGACCAATCATTAAAAACCATTTTAACAACAATATTCACCGAACTGTGAGATTAGAATTATTGCGTTTCATCTTTGACCGCAATTATAATTAAAATAATCTATTATTATACTTCGAATTATAAGCAACACGAAGGTGGGTAGCACAATAAAAATGAACTCGGTAGTCGGTATTGTTTATGATTCTGTATTCTGTGTTGATAATGCCGTTATCAGTGGAATTCCGAACATTCGAGGTGTGTCATCCGTCGAAAACTATCCGAACTGCGCCGCTACGTTACACAAATTCAACAATTCCGCCGGATCTCATCCGCTTAACCCATGCAGGTACGATTCGTTAAATAGATTAAAACAATATCCTTAACTCACCAGTTGCCTGAAGTCTTGAAGAGGGTGTGGGCGGTTTTGAGTGGATTACTTGGTAGTAAAGGTACGGGCCTTCCGTCCGAAGCTCCGATGAAGACCTCCGGCAGTGAATAGCGGCTACTGAATCTTGACAGTCTTAATAACCATAACGATCAAAACTCACCATTCACAAATCTAACAGCAATAGTATTATGGGTACCTATTACTAATTATTGTAGTAATTATTGTTGCGTTATTTTATTTTTCAGGTTAAGAATTGAAAAGCGCGCGTCACATTATCACCGTCCACCGACCGGTAACGAAATTTGATACCGTTTCATATTACACAGCAAACCTACGTACTTGGAAGTCGTGAGTCGCGACGAATCGATTGTGTTGAATATCGTTTCACCTGCGAACGATGACGGAGACGTTCAAATTGTCCGACTACGATTGCATCGGTTTCGACCTAGACAACACGATATGCGAATACCGCATAGGGCCCATGGTCCAGATGATTTATGACGTACTGATCGATTACCTTATAAAAAATTACAATTACTCGGACGAGCACCTGCGGCAGCCAATAGATTTCGATTTCTTTCAGCGGGGGCTGTTTTTAGACGCTGAAAAGGGTAACATTTTAAAAATAAACGGTACAGGTCAAATACTGAGAGCAGCCCACGGCACCAAGTTCATGACCGACGAAGAAATTGTATCGGTGTATGGCCCGAACAGGACGTGGACGGTGACTGATGTGTTTGTGCAAAATTTTCTAGAAACTTGGAACGGACCCATGTCCGAAAAAATCAGACCTCTTCTTGATTTTTTTGATATTCCTGTGTCACTTGTATTTGGACGTTGTATAGATGGTATTGATAACAAATCTCGCCCTCAAACCTATAATGTCTGGCCTGATGTGTTAAAAGGCTTGATCTACATGTACTCTAGAGATAACTTTTCTGCAAATACTGGCGATTACTTTCCATACTTGAAATCTTCACCCTCCTTATATTATAATAAATGCCCAGACTATGTACTCAACTGGCTCAAAGAACTAAAACAAACTAAAAAAGTTTTCCTGATTTCGGGATCACATGTTGATTATGCCAATTTTACAGCTACACAGTCATTAGGTGAAAACTGGAAAGAACTATTTGATATAGCTGTTTTTTATTCAAGAAAACCTGGATTCTTCACTACGAATAGACCATTTTATAACACCGACCCTCAAATGTTAAACGAATGTGATATTGTGGACAACATACAATTTAACAATATTTATAGTCAAGGTAATTGGGATCAGTTGCATGATTTATTAAAAAAAGAAACTGGGAAGTCGAACCCAAAGTGTTTGTATATTGGCGATAATATACTGCAAGACGTCGTTGCTCCCTCCAAGTTCTCTGGTGTAGATACTATAGCTGTTGTTGAGGAAATGAAATTAGATTCAAATGACAATGATATTAATCCTGACAATAGCATGTTAAGAACAAACAAATGGAGTTCATATCTGATTGACTGCGACAAGAAAGACACATCCATTTGGACTTCATTCATTGCGAATCACGGAAAACTTTGTATTCCATCCATTAAGAATTTGGCAAAAAAGCCTATAAATTTTGAATTTACACCATTTCCCAAAAGTAAAGTTTCTATTAATGGTAATGGTTTTTTTCCATTTATACCCAATAGCTTATACAAAATTTTAAAGTAATTATGTAAAGGCATTAATAAAGTTCTCTTGTTTACTTTTTAAATGGTTTTTGTATTAATCTGTGAATGCTTTTACTGACCTTAACTTATAACCACAATTGTTACATATTTTCTTAGTGTCGAATTGCTTACTATCCATGTTTAATAATTGTTTAAATGGAACCAAAATTAAACAGGGTTACCTCAATGACAAAAAAAGTACTATTGTCTGGTTAATAACTAACCATAAAAATGAACTACAATGTATGAAAATGTTAAGTTAATTTTTTTTAAAACAAAATATTTGGCACATTTGGTATATTTGATAAGGACAATACTGTGACTATTATTCAGATAATAATCTAAGTATAATTTTACACTGACATTGATATAAAAAAAACACTAATACATTATGAAGTATGAATACTCAATTATTACACATTAAATTGTTTTCTATGAAAATGTAATATTTATACATATTAAAATTAATTGGTATACAATTTGCTTAAATGTATCAACTTACAACATCTTAATTGGACTGGTGTATTTAAAAAATGCAATGCTTAGAATACAGGATAACATTTTTAAAAATGAATTTCAATAAACTATTATTTCAATGTAAATTAACAATAATCTAAAATGGTTATAAAATTGATTAATGATTATAATTATTAACAATAATAAACACTGAAAACTCGGTCATAGCCCATAACCCATTAACAAAATAAACGAGACTTTTATTTTAAATAGAATACAAGATTAAAAAAAATTATCAACCCTGATTTCAGCTAAACTAATTTTCCTCTGTTAGATGATATAAAATAAATATTCCCTCAGTAATGTAACCTGCAACAAATATCAAGAATTAAAACATTTTATGACTTGGATCAAAGTACTACTTACAGTCTAATGTCCTGCACAGAGAACAATTGCGCGTTCAATGATTATAAAGTCTCGACAGCAACAGCAATACCCATACCTCCGCCAACACATAAGGATGCAATGCCTCGTTTTTTGCCAGTCCTCAACAATATGTGCACCAACGTTACCAATACTCGTGCGCCTAAATTAAATAGATCATATAATTTAGTCACATTAATTCAATTGTTTAAAAGCAACTTTTTATTGCAATGTAATAAGTATTATGATTCATATTATCTCAAATTGATTAATTAATGGTACTTGATAGTATAATTAAATTACATTTTTATACTTTCAATATTTATTTTTATGCAATATTAATTTAGTAAAACACAATCTATTATTTATTATTATTCTAAAAGTCTAAATGTAAATTGATAGTTGATACCTATGCCGATTTGCATAATATCGATTACTAATTCAATATGAATAAAATAATATATAATTACAAGTATATCTCTTTCAAAATAAAACTGGCTCTTTCTAGTTGTTTAACATACTGAATGGCTAATCGGATGTTATTTTTCATAATTATTTAATGTAAAATTTAAAACCTGTGACAACCCGGTGTAGTCATCAAAATTGAATATTTTACTATACTCTGTTATATTACAGTTCAGTTACATTTTAAGTGTTCATCACATAATAAAAACAACAGTTATACCAGATGCTCCAATAGGATGACCCAATGCAATAGCACCTCCATGGATGTTTACTCTATCTGAATTTAATCCTAAATCACGCAATACAGCTATTGATTGTGCGGCAAATGCTTCATTTAATTCAAAAATATCCACGCTATCCATTGTCCAACCAGCTTTTTCAATCTACGAATTTAGTAAAGTTTGAAGTTAATTACTCACTGTAAAGTATGATTAACATGCACATAGCTATTTGTAGACCTTGTAGGTTACGGCTCTACATTATAAATTGTATTAAAATTACTTATGGTACTAATCAGAAATTATTTACACCTACCGTCTTAAGCACAGCAGGTACTGGGCCCATACCCATTATTTTTGGTTCAACTCCGCACACAGCATGAGCTACAATTTTAGCCAATGGAGTACAACCTCGTTTTTTGCATTCTTCTCCATTCATTAAAAGTACTACTGCAGCTCCATCGTTTATTCCTGATGCATTACCAGCTGTGACTCCACCACCATTCTAAATATGAACGAAGACATTCAAATTATTTCTAAACAATACTATAAGTATATGCCTAATTGTTTTAAATCTTACCGGTTTAAAAACAGGCTTCAATGCAGATAATGAATTTAAAGTAGTATCATTTTTTGGATATTCATCTGTGTCAAATACGATGGTATTTCGTCGTACTTTCACCTCAACTGGTGTTATTTCATCTTTGAAATAACCATTTTTTTGAGCTTCGGCTGTCCGTTTCTGAGACTCAAAAGCATAATTATCTTGAAGTTCCCTTGAAATATTATACTGTTCGGCAATATTTTCAGCTGAAAAGAAAATATTTAATTAGTTAATATTTTTATACAAAATTCTTATGAATATAATGGACAAAAAAAAAATTTGAACGAAGAGTGAAAATCTTAACGTATAATATCAATTTGTTTCAATATTTCAATTTTAAATCAAAATTGTTTGTATAATTATATTAAATACATTTTAGGAAATCAGGCTTACACATACTGTTTTCATGAGTTATAACGCCGTAAGGCACAAGGAAATATTTAAAAACTTACGCCATATTTACCTACCTAAACAAACTAAATTATTCTTTTGTTTTTATACCATTTTCATTTTTTATTAGACATTTTAGCTTATGAGGGAAGTATAGACAAAATAGTAACTATCAACTTTGCTTTAAAATTAGAACATAAAAAAAACTGTTCTATTTTAACTTAATATCCACAATTAAATGGGATAGGCTAACTATTAGAATAACTCGACTAATTCAAATATAAAACTGATTTTATCCATAGTTTTTAGATTTCTTACCAGTAATGCCCATGTGTATATTCTCAAATGCGTCTGTCAATCCATCACATAGCATCGTATCCATCATTTCTGCATTACCTATTTTGACACCATTTCGTAAATTGATAACATGAGGAGAGTTACTCATGCTCTCTTGGCCACCTGCAACGACAATTGAAGAATCTCCGCATTTGATTGACTGGTATCCATGAACCACAGCCCTAGGGGACAATCACCTGTTCTTTTTCATATAATTTAAATAATTTTTATCCTACAAAACTTACTAGTTAGTTGTTTATGTACGTCAAATATATTATAAATAATGTTCATGAATGATTTTGTATTTCAACTCACTTTAGCCCAGATCCACAGAGCATGTTGATAACATGAGCGGGTACACTGATTGGAATTCCAGCATTTAATGAAGCTTGTCTGGCTGGATTTTGACCTTGTCCAGCTGTAAGGGTCTAAAAAATGTTCATTTATGTTATATATTTTTACATGCACATTTAATACTAAAATAATATGTTACTTAAAATAATTAATTACTATAATGTAAAATATTACATTTATTTTTATTTACCTGTCCAATAATCACTTCAGATACATCCTTTGAATCGACATTAGCTCTTTTAAGTACTTCTGAAATAACTATGCTGCCTAATTGATGAGCTTTCAGAGACGACAATGAACCTCCAAATGAACCTAGAATAAAAACATAACCTTAATTTTATTCAATTGGAAACCAAATGAGAATTATGGTCAAAAATTGTTCATTAAATCAAACAAATTTACAAATTAAATATAGCATACATCGTAGTCATAACTCATGACACATCCAAAAAAATGTCTATTTACATTTAAAAATGTCCTGGCTAAAAAGTACTAGGTTACCGTAAACCATAGGTAACCAAATGGTGGCCAGTAGGTGGTTTTTATCTAGCTTGTTGACAAAAATTTCTTTTTTGATGGTGAATTATATGAGGTTGTTATTAGTTTTCATTTGATTTTGCCTTTACTTAATATTTTATTTGGATAAATGTGTAGGTATATTAAATTTTGATGACCCCAAATAAAATTAAAGAAAGTAATTAGTCCCTAAATAAATTTCAAAAGAATAGGTTGGTTAGAGAACAATTTAAATTTTTTTAAATTTTAATGCTAGGTTACGTTAATAATTGATTATGATTTAATAGACCGACCATGGGCCAATAAATTATGTTTAAGGAACCATTGTATATTCGTTAAATGTGATTCTACATGCAACCCAATATTAATATACAAAATAAAAGTAATAACTTTTTTTTAACCATATTTTGATTTAAACAAAAATAAATGCAACTTCAACTATCAAAAATGTATTTGTTGTGTTCAATGTATGCCATTAAATAGGCACTATGTAATAGTAGTAGATATTATGTTGTCCTATTTTCTAAAAACATTAAAATATTTTATCAATAATATAATAAATGTTAGTTGTTATAAAATATATACGACCAAGTGAAATATTAGAAGAGTTCATAGTAATATCTGGTATTGTTTATTAGAATAAGATTAATAGCTATAAAAGGTTAAATTGTTATGTAACATAATTTGAATATTTTAATACAAGTAAGAAATCGTCTTAAGGTTTAAATTATTGCAATAGGTGCTGCTTAAGGTTAGATAATAGATAATACCAATATTTCCTTAGTTTTTGATATAATTGGTTTAAATCTAACAATAATTTACAGTAATTATATGAACTAGATACTCTTGAGTTTAATGATCAAAAATATACATCATAAAATCAACTTGAGTCTTATTGAAATATAACTTATAACCGTAGTTTATCTGGAAATTTATAAACAATAAACATTAAAAAATTAATGGCCCATAAAGGTAATCCATTACATTTTAAAACCTATAAAGCATTTCTTTAATTATATAATTATAGCGAGAAATAAATATTAATAATTGTAGTTGCTAAATAAAATATTATGTACCGATTTTTAAGTAAAATATATGAACAAAATATCTATCAAGATTCCTAATTTAATAACAGGGTAAAGCTATTTTGTCCAACTCATGATTCATTTTTTATGATTAAACATAGGTAATAGGTATAAAATGTAATTTTTTTTTATATAGGTTAATTAAGGTAATTTTCTATTTAAATGACTGTGTTATAAAACCATACAAATACTTTTTCTTCTTGAGATTGTCTCTATGAATATACTATTACTAAAATATTATAATATGCACCCATACAGTGTAAACAATACAATAAATATTAGTGTATGAATTCAAACAGATTTATTAGGTAGACCTATTTAAAATTTTTTTTTTTTTTTTGTTTTTCTTATTGAGTATTAGAATTCAAAGTACACATTTTAGTATTAAACAAACAAAAATATTTTAAAAGAATAGAAAATTAGAAAAAAACAATTTTTAAATTAAAAAAATAGTTCAACTTGTGAACAACAATATTTTTGTAAAAATATTACTTAGGAAATAAGTTTTTTTATTTTCTTCTATTAAAAATTGATGGATAAACAATAACTATAGTAGCATATAAAGTTATTAAAAAATATTACATCATAACTAAGAATTTTAAAATTTTAACACAAGTTAATATTCAAGTAGGTACCTATGTAATTTAGTTAAGCACTTACTCATAACAAGCTTACAACATAAGCAGCATAGATTGTTTTGTTATATATTTACATTCAACTAACAGATAAAAAGATACAAAAAGTAGGTAGAGTAAAATAAAAAAAATACATTTTACTTGTTCACAATATCATTGTATAATTTTGGTAGTTTATTAAATAAAACACTTATTAACTATAATTATTATTTTTATTTTAGATAAATTGTTAATAAAAAAAAAAAAATAAGGTTCATCAAAAAAATTTAAAGAACAATTCTAATATATTTAAGGTTTAAAAATGCAATAACCCACTTAAAATGTTTTAAATGCTTACCTAACGGTGTACGGACGGCAGATACAATATATACTTCATTAGCCATTTTAATTGAGGTATTAATTTAGACTATTGAAACCTCAGTTGTAAACTTTTACGTGTCCTACACAAGACTATTTGAATTGCATTGAAATGTACAGATATTTATGTAAAAAAAAATTAAGATAACAATTAAATTACACTTAATTACTGTAAATGAGTAAAACTAATCACATTTAAGACTAATTGACAAATTATAAAATTAAAAATATAAATAATACTGCTATAGGTAGGCGCGCCCTAGTTACTAAGCTCGAAGCACTAAGCGTCTAGGAACTAGTAGGTATTTAAAACTTAAAAGACAAATATAGCGATGAACAAAAATTTAAAACGGCGTGGTATCACACACGTCATCAAATGTGATAACGTTATAACAACTTTACTGTTAGTAGTTGATAACAGAGAATCTTATCATCAAAATATACACAAGCGATAATAATATGTAAAATTATCGTATCGGCCGCTGTTCGCGACAATGGTTAACATGGGTTATATCAGACGGTTTGAGTGAAAATATTATTTTTTATCGTACGGTCGGTAGGAAGTGGGAACCAAAGACATCGATCGCCCGTAACAATTTCAACTATTTGCTTAATTGTAGCTGCTATTGTCATTATTAATTTTTAAGTTTTTTGCCGGACCGCGTCATAATACGCATTTTCTCATCGGTATTCGTTGTTGTCGTTGTAGCCGACGATTATAAATGCCGTGAGCGGAACACTGACGTCTCTACTATCAGTACGCTTAGTCGTCGTCCGTTTCGATATTATATCTCGTGTGGCGGCACTGCCAAAATTTCTGGACCAGTCAGTATCGAAAAATGGCAGAGTTCGTCAGGGTGACTTCCAATCCCTCGATAAATTCAGGTAAATGCAGTTAAATTATAATTATGTACGATGTCTGTCAACTGTCAAGTAGGGTCGCGGACGTAGGACGTGATGCTTCGATGGCGGCGGACGGCCGGAGCGGGAGTCCGCAATGCGGACGCCCGTCCGCCGCCGCCTCCATGGTCGGGGGTACACTTATCAGTACGAATAATACTGAAAGGCAGCAGTAATGTCCATTGCTCGACCCTCAGGTCTGCTGAGCCTTCTTAAGCTATTGCTTCTTAACGGCCGCGACCCTTAGGCAGCGGGACCTTTGCGCGTTCCCCAGATGGAATGCTCAGCGATCAACCTCCAAACTATAGGTTGCCCAGGGAGACTTCCCCACGGTCCCGACGTACCCTTAGCTGCTTTCCCAGTCTACTGTCTAGGAATGTCATTGGACCACCTCCTAATACCTAGAAATGTTTCATCGGTTTTCACCCCCAGACAGGATAAAATATGTGAAGTCAATGCTATTATTGTAGAGAGTAGACATTCAATCAAAAATAAGATGTAGGTACAGAATTATTCGGATCAAGGTTTCGAAATTCCTGCTATTCATAACAACACTCGTTTTGTACAATGTTTTCTAGTCCCTTAGTAGTCCCCTTTCTGTAATGAATCTCAATTTTTTTTTACCATGCTTAGTTTGTAATTATTATGTAATATTTTGTGTTAATACTTAATCGCACAAATACAGTCACACACAGGTGTACTATTAACTGTAACCATAGTAACTTTATAGTCAACATTTAATTTACCTAACTGGACGTGCGTAGGCGTGTAGCATATATAAATTTAAACAATAGTGCAATAGTGCATATATTATATTTTAGTCATTGTATAGACGTATAGTTGGTTTTAAACTTCATAATTATTTTAGAATGACTTAGTAAAATTGGTTTTATTAATACATTTAATTAAATTATCATTCCATAGCATATGACGTACTTTGAGTATTTATACATCAAAAAAAGGTTATACGGTATTCCTACTTAAATATAAATATTATAGAAAAAAATAACTCAATGTCTGCTGTAAAATTTTAATTGAGTCGATAGTTTTAAATACAGTGTATTATATTATAGAAAATAGAAATGTATGTATTAGTGGTTATACTAATTTGTATGGATAATAATAAAGTCTATGTAGAAACCTCAGTCTGAATTTATTCTTACCCATTATTATATTTCTGTATACTGCTAAGAGATTAAGTGTTAGGTAGGTCCTACTTTTTGTTTATTAATTATACATGTTTCATACATTTTCTTCATACGATAATAATAAAAACAATATATTTTCTGAGTACTGTTATTCTGAAATATTGTAACTTGATAATAGTACCTACATATTTTTAAATTTAAATTTTTGTTTTTTTTTATCAAAACATTTTGTATTAATATTTTTTTTTTGAATCAATGAGTGAACAATTTTCTTTTTTTCTTTTAAATACTTTTTATAATTTATATTAAAGATCTTATCCATAAAACTTTGAAGTAAAAATGTATTTCAATCATTATTAGTTTCATGAAATTATTAAAGTGTGATCTTGATAATTAAGTAGGTATGTACTTAAAAATCATAAATATTTCAATTACATTGATAGGTGTGTAGTATGCGCATATACAAATGTTATTGGTAGATTAAAATAACACATTTTTATGAGTGCATGTACCCATTTAAACTAAGCTTCTCTTTTCATTTATCATTATTTATGTATTAATTTGTTAAATGAAAACTTTTTAAACCAATATATGTATCAAAAGTACAAATATTAAGAGGATGTCATACCTGTATTGGTTGACTTTGTCTAACACATAGCACCAGAATATGGTTACAGTAGTTTGAATTTTGAATTTTGTGTTGTTAGTTTAAATATTAAAATGATTTATTAAATCCAAATTTAAGAACCTAATTTGTGTTCTCTCATTGTTTTTTTTTTTAGTATGTTAAATATTAAAATTAGAAAATGCTCATAATTTGGTTAAAAATTATATACTTATATGTTTAATTAAAAGTCAATTCACATTTCACTCTAATTTTAAAGGTAACAACACAGAATTGGAATTGCTGAATGCAAATCTGCTGTAATCTCCATGTATTTTATAAGACAAAGACTACTTTGCAGGTACAACTTCTTTTTAAGAAATTGAAGATACATTTAATCTGAAAAACACAATTAAAATACAACGCTGATTGTTTTTACCAATACCTATAACTTGCATGATCATTTTTAAAAAATAACTAGTTCTTAATCTTTATTTTCCAATGATTTCATTAAATTTGTTATTTCAGAAATAATTAAATTTACAAATTGTATTTTAAATACAAATAGAGATATCAATAAATTTTAAATATTTCATTATGTGTCATGAAATTAATTTTTCATATAGTTATAGCTTATATTTAGTTTGTATTATGTTTAAATAATGGACTTACATAATTGATATGTCATAGCAGAAAAATTCCTTAATTTTATTGTGTTATGATAGAACAAATTCAACCTATGAATATACTTTGAGAATTTTTTTAAAGTACCTAAATGTCCAACTAAATTTGAAGCTTAACTAATTGTAAAAGTATTCTGTCCAAAATTATGTTTGATGCAGTTGGCTATTGGGCAAAACTTAAACCTCAAATGGAGTATAATATATATAATACTGAGATACTAATGAGTTTCATTGAACAAGGATACTATACCCTGTTTCAAAAGAGTGTATACCAATTGTGAATCTAATTTCCTTATAAAATGTCTATGGTTTTAAAATTATTATATGCCTACAATGTATATTATGTTGGTCTCAGTATATACCACTAGTCACTACTTCATAACTAGATAAACAAATAAATACTTGCCTTACATATTTATTTATCTATGTTCAATTTATCTTTGTTTATTTACCATATATAAGGCATGTATTAGGTACCTGATAAATTATGACTGTACATACTTGACATTGTAATAAACCACATTCTAAAGAAAATGTTTAATAGGTGTCAATTTTGTTATTTAGAATGTTAAAGTTTGTGTTAAAATTTAAGTTAACTATGTATATTGTATAGGATATTCTTATAATTGGTCATAACAGTTACATTTTATAAATTGTTTTTTTTCTGTATTATTTATCAGGCAATACAATATGTCATTCCTTCAAGAAATGCCCTCCAAGTCATTAATAAAAAAAATGCATACTACTTTCTGTTCTTCATTTCTAAAGTATTGAAAATGTACATTTTTAATAGTATTAATAGGATTACATGTGTTCTGTCTTAATGTAATTCACATTTTAAGAGTACTTAATGATTAAGTAATACATTAAAAATAAAATAAAATTTTTAAATGTATGATCTTTTTAGTTTTCTAGATGTAGTAAATACTTAAATAATAAAATTTCACTCCAAGGAAGCTACTTTCTTTAAAACAATCATGTGGCATATCATATAATATTATCAACTCGTATGCTATTTTGATCAATAACATTACAGATTGTATATTAACAAAAATGTATTAAGTATCTTACTACACTTAGCTTTAATAATATTCATGCAGTTATATTGCATCATTTTCATTACTTCATATGATTCATTTTAAATATTTTACCTTATCAAGTTATAAAAATGTTTTGTTGCAATATGCATATTATCTAATTCATAAACGTCATTATCCATTGGCCATATTTTATCCAAGAGATTTAGTCTTACTTAACTTATAAATAAGTGCAAAATGACAAATATTTTTTTTCTATGTACATTATATTAATAAATAATAATATTCAGTGCACTAATATTATCATACATTTATAAATGGAATCAGTTAATTATTAATGATCAGGTAACTGGGATCCTCAAAATCTATATTTTATTTGAAATTCATGCATTTGTGACTTAAATGTATTTAAATATAATTCTTAACTAAAATGTATAAATATGTTTTAAGTTTAATAGTGTGCCTGTAAAGTATAAAAATAAAATAAAACATTAAGGTTTAAAAAGTTTGTGCTATACTTCATAGAATGTAGTATAGATTAATTGACAGTATCGTTCAATTCTTACCATTATTTGATTAGTTCTTTGCATGTCTAGTGCCATTATTACATAAGGTCGTAAAAAACACGCCTTTATGTTTGGCTTTTAACTGATTTTCTGTTATTACTATTTTCAGTGTTTTATACATATTATTTTTGTGTTAGTTTTTCACTATTTTTCAAAATGAATGTGCTAACAACTTATAAGTTACAATACTGGTTTGATTGAATAATGTCAAAATAGAAAAACATGTTGGTGTGAAATATATTAATACCTATAACTTATACCGGGTGATTCTTTTATTGTTTCATAAATATCACTTATTATTTCAAAAAGTATAAATGTTTTTAAAAAAAAAAATTTACATTTTTTAATACCTACTTTTTCAATAACAATCAATTTTAATTTT